TTAAACTACATGCTTTAATGGGTTACATGTTACTAAAACATCCACCATGTGAACCTGTTAAACCTTTTGAACAGGCTCTAATGAAACCAACTTGGAACTGTCTCACAACTTGTCCAGTATAAGCAAATGTCTTACCACAAGACAAAAAACATCTTACAGCAAAAGACAATACTGATTCTGCATTCTATGAATAACAACTTATCTAAAAATTTATTTTCGATAGTGGTTTCTAATTTATCAAGTGTTGCAAAGTCTTAAATAAACACAATTAATCTAAATGAATATTTTTATTAAGAATGTTTTTTTTTAATACAGTCATAATTAGTCAATAAACTTCTAATGGTTTTCATTTAGGATCCAAACCTCTTCCAACTTTACACAGTCAATCTTTCAGTTTTTGACAACCACCCACTTTACCTTTGCCAAGTAGTGAATGACCCACACATAACTCCTTTTCAGAAAAAGTGAGTATCAATTGTTTTATTTTATGTAAAATGAAGGTAATAATATAGAGTTTAGTGTTTAGTGCACTATTATTATTTATGCAGAGATTATAGTACTGAAAAAAATTTAGAAATATGAATTGGCAGTCGATATTATTAGTAATTATTGTTTTAGCTAAGACAATAATTCATTTTTTTATTTAACAAAAAAAAAACAAAAAACCCAGTAATTTTCAATGCAAGGGACATAACCTGACTTTCTCTTTTTCTGCCTTCCTAATAACTTGTTTCCCTGCTTACTTTCCTGCCTGTCAATATACTGCATTTAAAAATATTTCAATAGTTTTTTTTATGCAAAACCCAGCTGTGACAGCTTCAATATAAGTGTACCAACATAGGTGTCAAATCATAAAATAATAGAGGAAATAATTAATGCTTTGGGTAAAAATGAAATTTATTGAAAACAATACTTTTCTGGGTTGTTTTACCAGGGGGAGTAGGTCAGCTTTGATTAGTGTAATTGTGTACTTATAAGCTCAAACATGTACATGTATGTATATATATATATATATATATATATATATATATATATATATATATATATATATACATATATATATATATACATATATATACATATATATATATATACATATATATACATATATATATATATACATATATATATATATATATATATATATATATATATATATATATATATATATATATATATATATATATATATATATACATATACATATATATATATATATATATATATACATATATATATATATATATATATATATATATATATATATATATATATATATATATATATATATATATATATATATATATATAAGTTGCATCTCTTGATGTTATTATTGTTATCTTTCTCAGACATACAAGTTAAGAGTTCACCAGAACAACACTTATGTTGTAGGCCATTCCACTGTTGAGATATTTCTTTATTATATAACTTAGTGAAAACTGTTATGCAGAAAATGTATGAAATACCTAAATAAAGATAGGAAACTAGAAAATCTGTATGCCCCACTTGTGATTACCAACAACCTTATGGATAATGCTCTGTGTGTAAACACACATTTTTCATTTTCAGGACTGTTTATGTCTAGTCAGTGGCATGTCTACAATTTTTTCTTGACTTAGCTCCATACAACACAAGATTAACTCCAGATGAGGCTGTCATTATTTTTATAATTGTATTTATTCAATTTATAGAATCGTATTTTTAATTCAATTTAGATCATAGTGAGACCATTATCCTATGGTAAACAGCTTGTCTGGAAGGTCTATTATCTAAAATATTAGACCTATTGGGTTTTTTATTTGGAATTTTTATCTCATTAATCAATAATTATCAATGTTGCTTTCTATTATGCAGCTATTATGACTTTATGATGAGAGGAATATACTTATTGTATAAGAGAAAAAGTGAAATGTTTGAGGTAAGCTGCTAAACAATAAATTGGCTTGATCATTTTTAAATAAAAATGTCACATTGTGATTTAAAAACAGGTTTATTGTTATTTTATTTATTTTTATATCCTTTACTGGTACTATTAAAGTATTTTTTTCTTTTTAATAATTTTCTATATTTTAATTATACAGGTGTATGCAAAGGCTGTTACCTGTTATGAAGGAAACCCTAACACATGCAACAAGGAAGTTGCCATCATAAGTGAAGATGATGTTGTTTATTTTAGGTAAAATGAATCTGTAGTGTTGGCCGGATTCTTATGCGACGGGGGGGGGGGGGGGGGGGGGGTTCAAATTTAAATTATATATATTTATATATTATAAATATATATATATATATATAGTTTGTTTCATGTACTGTCTGATGCTGTTGTTTTTCATTGTTATTACTGAAGTATGCTTAAAGCCTGTACACATTCTTTCTTTTTTATTAACACCAGATTAGTTGAATACGCATTTTTTCCCCTCAATTTAGACTAAATAAATAATGGTTTTTTTTGCATTGTAAATCTTTTTGATATTTAAAATCTGTAGCAACTTGAATCAAATTTACTTAACATAATTCATTAATTTGCTTAGTTTTCATATTTTAATTTTCCAGAAAGGACATAGCTGTAGAAGTTTATTCAAGAGACAACAGAATTTCAAGCAAAATATACCGTAAAGGGCATGAAAGTTTTATGGTAATGGACATGTTTTTAAAAAAAATTAATATTTACTAGCTTTAATATCTTTTGGAGGCAGTTTTACTCTTATCCACAGTGGTTTTATATTGCTTTAGCTAAATTTACCAGTGTTATTTATATATATGTTCGTTATGTACATCTGTACATAAATAGCAGATGTACTGGCACTAAAATGGACAGACTTGGTGACAAAAAAGCACCTTGCTAATGCCTGGTGCTAAGCTAGCTGCTGATAAGTTAGCCAAGAAGTAGGCTATAGATTTACTTGTGATGAGTTATTAAAAAATTTGATATTTAGGGTTTTTAATTTGTAGTTTCAGTAATGTATTTGATTTTTTTGTTGTTGCGGAGCATGTTTTAAATTTTAGTTAATCAATCTCCAGCCAAAGAGGTAGCGGCTACTCACCCTACCGCCACCCCCCCCCCTCGTATGCTATCGGCTCCCCTATATTTTCTTGTATACTCTTATTTAACAGACAGGGTTTGGAAAAAAAAAATTTCAAATACGGAATGATTTTGAGAAATCAGAAATAGAGTAAAGTACCCCCTCTGGTTAACTCTCAAAGTTAATAGAAATCTACACATAAAAGCTAATACTTTTTTATGAAATTACCTCCACATAACTGATTTGGTACAAAAGCTCTTGAGTTCGCATGGAAGTAGAATCAATATAATAACTTTAAAAAAATATTCAATAGTTGATAGAAATCAACATATAAGATATAATAATATATTTAAGATATTAAATATACAAGAAAGTAAACATGGTACACATTGTGCACTAAATATTCTCAGCTTAAATCAATGTACTTTAATATTATTTTTGATTTTCTAATTTATAGTTGTGTTAGTTTATATTTAAATAAAATGAAACATCTATTATAATTTTAGGTTCTTTTTCCAACTGGAACTTCAGTTATTGTTGAGACAGACTTTGGAGACACACTTAAAGTTTTAATACAGAAATCACATTATGATGATGACAATACTACAGGTAAAACATTCTTTTTCTAACAAACTTTAAACGGCACCCCGTCAAAAGAGCGCACAACAAAAGAGCGCCGACATAAGAGCGCAGACATAAGAGTGCACTAATTTCCCGACAAGAGCGCCGACATAAGAGCGCAAACTAAAGATTGAAAACCATAGTTAATGGTTAATAAAAATTAACTCAGATCAAAAGGCATCGTTTGATGTTAACTCTTTATTGTTTCATTAAAAAACTAATTGTTCAGTTTCTTTAACTAAAAAACTGATAAAATCAACGTGAAGTCCAATTATTCAAAACGCAATCTAATAACACATGCAAAGATTTTAAATGTTAGGCCTAAATTTAGAATATAAACTGAAATGAAATGTAACAAAATGAAAATATATTTCAAATGAATAAAACGTTTCTTAATAGTTGCATTTATATTGCTAAATTGTGGGCTATACCTCGTATTGAATAATTAGCATAGGTTGAAGCCATCCCCTGCAATCTTTGGTTCAGCTGAAAATATTTTTTCTTTGAAGCTTCTGGTTGATTATCTCCAGCTAGATGACGTTCCAGTTCGATTTCGATGTGATCTTGTTCCAGACGAAACTGGTTGATCAATTTATAAACAACAGGATGGTTTCTCCTTCGCCTCCTTATGTACGTATCCTGCCGATGATGACAGAACAACATCGTTCAGCATTTTCATCCACCCTCGGCAGCCATCGTTCTTGCAGCATCTTCATGTCGTACTTCCACCAGCATTTGCTCTGTCCTTTCCACATCTGTAGCCTTCGACCAAACTAATAACCTTCCCTTTCTGTGATTCGAACTTCTCCATGTTACTTGGGTTAGAAATATTTTCAAACTGCATTCATAACATATTAAACATAATATATAAATAAACACGTCGTTTTATCGAACCGCCGATTGTTTAATTAAAACAAGTGTTAACCATGTCATATTCGTTTAGCGTACAACATGTGTTTTTTTAATTGGCTGCGCTCTTTTGTTGGCGCCCTTTTGTCTGCGCTCTTATGTCGGCGCTCTTTTGTCGTGCGCTCTTTTGACGGGTCACCCTTTAAACATAGCCCTATAACTCTGGTTTTTTTTTACATAGAATTTACATGCTGGTCACCCTATTTGTATTGTATCCTCATTTCACCAGTCTTTTAGATAATGTAAGTCATTGTTTTATGAAGAAGGCTCATTAAATGAATTGCATTTGAGTAAAAATGTCAAAATTTTGTAGTGTATTTTACATGACAATCTTATTTTAAGCTAATTTGAGATTTGTAATAAGAAGGCTATTCAAATAGCATATTCTATAATGATAATTACATAACATAAAAAATAAGTTCAAAATAATTTTAGGATATTTATTTGTATTTAAAAATAATCTCCTTAAATAAAAGTGTTAAAAAAACAACTAAATTAAAACTAGCCTTAGGATTATAATTTGTATTACTAAAACATGACCTTGCTTATAAATTTTGTGTTCACACAAAAAGCTAAATTTAAAGTTATTGCCAAACGCAAGTAGATTTGGCATTAAATTGTAGACATTTAAAAACAAAAAATTGTACTCAAAAATAATAATCTATTAGAATTTCTATTGGATTATGTCTTTAAAAATCCCTCTCTTCAAAATACACTGAAAGACTTACATTTTAAAAATGTAAATGTAAAGTTCTACACTTAACACTACAACTGTGTATTAGTTAAATTAATTATATAATATAATATGAATATTCAAAACATTAAAACAATCGAAGTAAAGTAAACCACAAAACAGCAAAGTAGGCTTGAAAATGTAAGCAAAATAAAATATTATTAGCACAATTCTCAGCATAATGTTAAAAATACAGATCTATATCTTCTTCTTTTTCGTTCTTAATTTTTATTGTTGGAAGGGATCGAGCCTTATATGCCAGAGGGTTTGAACTCGAGACTTTTTCGAATTTATCAACCATGAGCTTTTGCCGACTCGACCACGCCTCAATCACAATTAAGGATACGTGTCAACTGGTTATGCGCCACTGAGGCCATTGACTCCGATTTCAGCCAGCTTTTCTTTTTGGATTTGCTTCCATAACCTTTGCCCAATCAAGAACAAACTACAAGGCAGCAGTTGTTTGATTTTGGAGTTGTCTCTCCTAGAAGAGTGGCTGTCCCCAGCTAATGAGCCTCATCTGCCCAAGGGTTCGAACTCAAGACTTTTTGGTTTAGCAACCATGAGCTTTACCGACTCAACCACGAAGGCCTCTAGATCTATATAATATATATGAATCAAATGTTATTTATTTAAAAATTCTTTTTTTGAAAAAGGTTTATGTGATGTCACTGAAATGGAAGAAAAGAGTAGTCTTTGGAGGTAGGCCATAAACTATATTATATTTCTTAAAGATGATACAACATATTTAGTTTATTATTAACTTAAAATAATTGTAAAGATTGAATCAAAGTTGTATTATGACTGACTTTTGTTTAACACATGTTACTTTTTGTATAAAACACCTGTCAAATATCATCTGTGAGAAATGTCTAACACTCTAGTTACTTATGTTGATAAAAATGTTCTTTTATGTTTTACTGCTTTATTGTTTTCATGTCTATAATACATATGTAATCACAACTAGATGATTTTATCCTTCTTAAACTCAATATTTTACTTAAAGTTTGATCAGTTTTATTTTAGTAAGTAACATATTAATAGTTTTTAATGTAATTCTATTAATAGCAAAACTGGTGCCCTATTCAATTTTACTGGAACTTCACCCCAAAATGCCATTGAATGTGCATGCTTAGCTCACAGAGCACCAGTATGCAATCAAGGCCATCTTGTTTACAGATGTGAGGAACAATATGGTAAATCCAACTTTAACGTAGCATATTTTACTCTAAATTAACAAAAGCTATCTACTTATTTAAGGACAGCATGTAAGAAGCGAATTGGAACTTACGTCATGGGTCAGGGGTTTGCTAAAATAAAGATGGCTGTACAATGTGTTTATTTTTGTTACTCATGTTACAATCCATTATTAGCTTTTTGGCTATAGCTTAAATGATATAACTGTTGTACATAGATGTTACTCTTGACTTTGATTTTTTTATATTTACTTAGTCTAGTTTAGTTTGGTTTGTTTAGGTTTTTGTAAACCTCCTTGTCCCAATGAGGATTCACAGATCAGGGAATAAGATCACCTCTCAGTTCACCCCTTACATTTAATTAAAACAAGATTTTATTATATGATTGCAGAGAGTATGCTAAATAATACATAATATTTTCACCAATTGAGATGAGAGTTCCTAGCCAAGATGATAGCACGTTAGCTAATCACTTAGGTGGCATGGGTACCAGTGGCGTCGCTACAATTCTCAAGAAAACCTTTTTCTTCAGGCAAATTTTGCACCTTTTGGTTGATTTCACACCCCCAACATCTGATGATAGCTTTAAACTGTCCGCAGATAATACTAACAATGTTCATCTAGAGTCTGTTATGAATATAGCTGGATGTAGTTTAGTTTTCTATATTGTTAGCAGGTTTACATCATGGTTTACCCTTGTCGGGATTTGTCAGTTTTGTTCTAAATGAAAAGACATTTGAACTCTAATTAATCATTTATTTAACTGGGATGATAGTTATTTTGCTATACATATTTTGGCTTGATGTTACCCCCCTAAAAGGTGTCACCCAGTGCGGTCTGCACCCCCCCCCCCTCTACACATCGCGACGCCTCTGATGGGTGCAGAATCTAAGTAGTCATTGTCAATTTTATTTGGTTTTAATGTTCCCACACAGAAAGTGGACTGAAGGAAATCTCAAATCATTGCTATTTTTTTTTTTACTTATGGTTTGATAATTTTTTTTATTCATTTGTGTTCCATGCAAAACCGCCTCATAATTATTACAATTCAGATTCAAATTAAGTGAATCACAGGTTATGTTTTGAAAGTTTGTTTCCCAATCCATTAAAATACAAATGGTATGTCACGCAAACACAAGGGATGTGCTACTGCCACCGCGCACAGTTCGGGCGCTCTGCTAGTTATAAATAATGTTCAATAGGCTTAGTTCATCTCATGGCTGTAATTGGTCTGTGTAATTATTCTGTGAGTCAATATTAGTTACATAATGCATGTAAACCTACCTTTACAGCTTTTATAGAAAAAACAATTATTAGCAAACTAACATGCAACTATCACCTTTAATTTTTGCTGACAATTATTAAAAATAAAACAACATTATAAAGTTTTTTTTTTCCAGATGACATAACGAAGGATTTACTAAAGGCTGCTATAACTACACCATTTAATTGGTCCAAATCAACATGAAAACCTGATGCCTAAAAAAATAGTACTTCGCAGTATTTTTTTTTTATTAAAAGCTTAATTTTAAAAGATTATCTTTATTTGTTTCCAATATTAATAATAAATGTTATTATGTGCTTACTTTAAGTGCTTGCTTAACATTTTTATTTTTAAGATTTTCTGCATTTCTTTATATATTAAGAAAAATTTGTAAATGTCTCTGAAGTCTACCAATAATGTTATAGGGTTACACTGGGGCAGATTAAGGGGGGGGGGGGGTGGGAACTGAATAGACTACAGCCTGGTAAAGCTCCTGAATTTAGAAAAAAAATTATTATAAAATTTATACATTTCAACTTCAACAGAACACAAGTTTAAAGCAGTAATTTTAGTAAAATATTAAACTCTCCGACCGGTGAAAGCATTTCTCAGGCCTGTCCACATGATTTTGCTTATAGGATTTTTTTTCCTAAAATAAAGCTCTGATTAATGCCAACAGTTATGTGAGTTGGTAGCAAAGCTGAAAATACTTTTAATCTCACCAGCTTTATGAGTGAGTGATCTCAAATGATGTTTTTAGAATTATGTTAGACATTCTGGAATTCTATTGCCATAACACATAAGATAGTTTAAAATGGTTTAAATCATTGAAGTCCAATAAAGTCAGTGCTTTAAAACATACTATTTTATTTATACATATACATGTATATTTATACGTATGCAAACATTTGAATTGTACTATTTGTAAAATAGATAAGGATTTATTTTCTTTTTCTTAATAAATGTAATCTATATAGGTATTAACTTTGTGTTAGGATTTATTGGGTTATTATTGTATTATCTTTAGGATAAACATTTTACGCCTTACAGATATTTTAAAGAAAAAATGTATGTCTGTAATAGACCAATGCTGGTTACATCAAGAAGTTTTATAAATGTAATTAGGTAAATCTAATATTGCATAGGTAAATGACGATAAATTTTTCTATTTTCATGATATTGGTAGGTAAATTGACAATGTAGTGAGCACTATACCCAACCAACTGTAATTTCTATAACTTGTGTCAGGTATATGAGCTGGGTTAACCTAAAATCATACAATAGTATATAGTATAGTCAAACTTTTGACTATTGAATTCTCAACTACCATTCAACCAAGTCATCTCATACTTTTTTTTACAGATATCCTCTGACCAAAGTGTTGTATCTAAATAATAACGGGGTCATCCATAAATCTTGTCTTATGTATGTTACAAACAATTTTTTACCCCATTATGCCCTATTAAACAATCATCACAAAAATGCCAGGTACTATTACATTATGTATATTATGGTTGTGTCCCTTGAGTGTTCACTGTGTCAGCTGTGATGTGTAGTTAATGTGTAGCTGTGAGTTAGTTATCTGTAAGCAGAGCTAGAGACAAGTCAAGTTGTCTAGGCTGTTCTAGTGTAATAAAGTAACCAAGTTAACAGAAGAACTGTGTCTGTTGAAATAATATAACAGGTACCATTCCATTTAAATGAAATCACAATAACCATATTTTTCACCCCAAATAACATGCTAATTTACTTTTGACTATTGACTGACAAGCAAGAAAAGAAAGTTACACAAATTTACATTATTTATTATACTGTGTTTAAAAAAATGTATTGCCTTTTTACAAATTTGTCTCTCAGTCCTTAATAACAATTTGCAAAAAAGAAAACTATATAAAAATTATAATTATAAGACATGTTTGTTAAGTTTTCTTATACTTTTAAAAGTAGTTTTATATTTTGTGTGTTAAAATAATTTTAAGAAGTTTAAATTGCATAAATTTTAGCTTTTGGGAATTTCAAATGTACCGGCCAAGGTTCTGATATGATTGAGAAAAAATAAAGAGTATGCAGTAATATATGGCATACTATATGATCCAACTAATACTTAAAGAATTTAAAATTTCCCATTTGACATTCTGTAAAGAATGATATTAACTAGGTTACATCCATTATGCATTTTTGTAATTTAAAAAAAGTCTTAGAAAAGGAAGAATATTTTTAAGCGTATCACCTATGGGCATACCTATAAATTTAAAAAATCTTTATACACAATTTTTTACTGACATTATTTTTCAAACAATTCAGTTTTGAGAGTAAAAACCCTAAAAAGTTTAGCAGTTACCATTGTCAAAGATATAAAATAAGTGCAAAATAAAACATAAGTTATATTTTCAACAAACATCTTATGAGGATTACGTGCCAAGCACAAAAAGAATTGTATGTACATATGTTAACACAAACTAATGTGTTCAGATTATGAATACTTTTTTCTTATAAATTGTTTTAAAAATATTATTAAAATTATTATTTTTCCTATTAAATAAAACAAATTATGTGCCAAGCACAAAAAGAATTGTATGTACATATGTTAACATAAACTAATGTGTTCAGATTATGAATACTTTTTTCTTATAAATTGTTTTAAAAATATTAAAATTATTATTTTTCCTATTAAATGAAAAAAACTTTAAATCTCCAGCTTTTTTGTTTTGTTATCTTTGATTTTTAAAACCAAGTTTTATAATAAGATGCTTGTTACATTATAAAAAGTTTAGCAGTTACCATTGTCAAAAATATAAAATAAGTGCAAAATAAAACATAAGTTATATTTTCAACAAACATCTTATGAGGATTACGTGCCAAGCACAAAAAGAATTGTATGTACATATGTTAACACAAACTAATGTGTTCAGATTATGAATACTTTTTTCTTATAAATTGTTTTAAAAATATTATTAAAATTATTATTTTTCCTATTAAATAAAACAAATTATGTGCCAAGCACAAAAAGAATTGTATGTACATATGTTAACATAAACTAATGTGTTCAGATTATGAATACTTTTTTCTTATAAATTGTTTTAAAAATATTAAAATTATTATTTTTCCTATTAAATGAAAAAAACTTTAAATCTCCAGCTTTTTTGTTTTGTTATCTTTGATTTTTAAAACCAAGTTTTATAATAAGATGCTTGTTACATTATAAAAAGTTTAGCAGTTACCATTGTCAAAAATATAAAATAAGTGCAAAATAAAACATAAGTTATATTTTCAACAAACATCTTATGAGGATTATGTGCCAAGCACAAAAAGAATTGTATGTACATATGTTAACACAAACTAATGTGTTCAGATTATGAATACTTTTTCTTATAAATTGTTTTAAAAATATTTTAAAATTATTATTTTTCCTATTAAATAAAACAAACTTTAAATCTCCAGCTTTTTTGTTTTGTTATCTTTGATTTTTAAAACCAAGTTTTAAAATAAGATGCTTGTTATATTATAAAGTGTGTACAGAAAATTTAATTAAATAAAGTCAATTAATTTTAAAATATTGTTTTCAGTTTTACAAAAACATCACATGGACCATTGTTATACAATCGTGACTCTTTACATATTTAAAGCAATCAGAATTATCTCCCATTTTATAAGAAAATTGATTGATAATTTTCAAAATAAAAATTTTATTATCTTCTTTGTTGAAAAAAAAGCGTATTGCTTTTCCAAGTTTTATAACTTACAATAAAGTCTCCTTTTAAAAAAAAAATTGTATATCATTTTTTGTGGTTTATAGATAATAGTTATTTTTGAAATTATGAAGTTACATTTATTAAAGATAAACTTTCAATTTACTTACAGGGGCATAGAAATACACAACCTAAAGCAATATCTTATTTATTATTTTATTAAAAACAATCCAAAGTTATTACAAATACAAATCAAAAGTACATTTAACATAAAAGCAATAAAAACCTAAACAATAATATTGTGTAAAAAAATCTATTTTAAATGGGATTAATTTAAATATAGAAGGTAGAGAACAAAGTTTTACATATTCTACTATTTTAAAGTTTTCTTAACTAGGCTTACATGTGTGGTAAAAATAGATCTTTATAGAAAATATTTTAGGCCATTGTATTAAACTAAATTGTAATTATGTTTTAATTTAAAAAGCTAATTTATAAAATAACTTTTAATTTTTTTATTCATTTTATTTTATAAGCATCAGGAAAATAATTAAAATTATAATTGACATTTCATTTGTGTATTATATCTTCTTTAAATAACAAGATTGTGATTAATATTGAGTTTTTAAGTTAATCCTGAAAATTTGCTCACAATAGTTTAGCTGTACTAAGGTTATATAAAGTTTCATCATGTAAAATTTGCATTTGGTAAAAATGGAAAAATAAGTACAATTATTAAAGGAATAAATATGTAGCCACAAAGAATCTTAGTTTAGGATTTCTTGCCGATTTCCTTCTTCAGTCAAGTGTTGAATGTTTCTTAGGATAACTCCGCCAGATGGAACATACTTCGCTGACCCAAATTCAGCTGACTGACTGGAAAAAAATTAAATTTCAAAATAAAAAAATTCTGTAATTTCAATAGCTAAGACTACTTACATTAATGAGCATATTATAGATGTAGTTATCAGTTTATAGTGATCATACTAACTAGCAATTTACAATGTATTAGATTACCACTTTCAGCTTTCTCTGATATAGGGTCTAGAAATAACTTCATATGTTCTTTCTAGTATCACAAGATTTATTTGGAGGATAACAACTGCCACTGCCTGTCTCGATATTAATGGCCACAAGGCTAGTGTCTATAGAACTCATGTTATTTGCGTGGACAAAACATAATTGTATAGGCCTGAAACACAGGGCTAGAAGCAGACTTCGTTCCTGGTAAAAAAACAACACTCCTTTTCTGACCACAGGAATGGTGTGGTGCCTATGCGGTCTGAAACATGAAAACCTAGACAGCACTGTGAGTGTGACTTACAAGCCACAAGATCCTGTTGGAAACTGCTTGCTGAAGCTACAAATTTTCGTAAGGAATGGAGCCCGACCTAACGGGTAACACTATGCGGATAACAATTTTGATAAAGAAATACAGGTTCACATTTGAGCTATAATTTAAATATGAGATTTACCTCCGCTTTCTTCGCTTGACCACAATCACTAGGGCAGCCAATACAACAACCAGGACTAAAATACCACTGAGACAATATATCATCTCATTTGGAAACATGTTTGCCCCATGAATGTGTGGTGGTTGGCAATCTGGACCTGTTTATAAAGAAAATAAAAAGAGTTTAGAGTAAGAGTAATTCACTTCCTACAACATGAAATAATGAAAAATGATTTCTTATTTATCTGATGTATATTTATAATATGTGCAAAACAGCAAGATAAATAGGCAAAGTTGATGAAACAACACTGACTTTCCCATCTGGACCATTGGTTGTGGTTTATAGATGTGTTACAATACAGACATTTGTTGTCTGCAGGGCCTCCATTTTCAAAACAATCATCGTCCAAAAAGCAATAGTTCTCCTTAATACAGGGACAGAGAGATAAATAATTTTAAATTGCTATTTAGTCAGTTTGAAACACTAAAGTTAAACAAAAAATTAAAATAATATTTTATTATCTATGAATAGAGTGTATTGATCTTGGTTTATTTTATATTTTTTATTAGCCTGTATTAAATGCCTATGAAAATTGTCTCATTGTGTTTGTGGTCAAAAGATAAAGAATAGTGGCTTCTGTATCAACAGTGCATCTGTTTATAAATTATTTTCATCACTTTTTAGAGTAGTCTTTTATGTTGAAAAAGATAAAGTTAAAATTTCAAGAAACATAGATGGAGCTTTCAACAATTAATTAAATGCATTGTGTTTGCAACAGCAGGCTTGACTTATGCTGTGTAACCTACACACAGAAAATCATAGTCTACTAGAGGGCAGTTAAATTCAGATCACCAGGACAAGTGTTTGCTTTTATTTCTGCCCAACATGGTGCATTTATATTTGGAAAATATTTGATTACTGGGATGCTACATTATGTAAAATTAGATTGTATAAAAAAATGTAAAAAAAAATTACCTTTGTAGTACAAGTCAGTTTCTTTTCAAACACCTCACAATCTCGGCATGTACCGTTAAATACAACATATAGAACATGCTCTGTGCTGGAGTAGTTGTTGTTATTGGCGACTCTTATCTTGGCACTTTTTTGTTTAGTAAGAGGACATAATACTTTGGAATTACTCAAGAAAACAGCCGAGAGAGCAATTTCAGTTTCATTATTTTCTTCATTTATTTCATGTTGGGAAATAAAATTTGAAACATTCCCTTGACTTTTGGAGTTGAAATCACCTGGAATCTAAACATAATTGTGAGACTGTTTTAAAACTGCTTTGATTAAGTCCCCGTAAAATCTTTGATCTATATTATTTTCTTATCTATGACACCTAATTAAATTTTCTTAGAATTAACAAAGTAAACACAATTTTTAAAACTGTTTTTAATAAATGCTTATTTAAAAAGCATTAATATTTTCAAAATTATTGGCACAGAATCTCTTTTGGTTGCTCCTTTTTATCTTACCGTTATGTAGTTGATTAGGCACAGCAAGTTTTTATTGCTGATAAAATTTTTGCCACTTAAAGCCACAGAGCTGCATTCAGCACTCTGAGCATTGCAAGTGTGAATTCTTGATGCCACAACAGGTTTAGTTTCTGGGCTAAGATTGCACAGTTCACCTCCATAACCCAAGTCACACTTGCAATATCCTGTAAACAAAAGGATACGTAACAGGTTTCAGTTGTCAACGATTAGAAATTTTGAAATAAATTTTGTACTGTAATATACAATTTTTTAACAATTTAAAAACATGGCCCTTATATTAGGTATGTGCCAGTAGTTTTCTTTCAAATGTTTGATCCATTTCTCATAAAAAGATTCTCCTTTACAAAAGTTCAAATATATTGCAACAGCAAAATTAAAATAAAAACTATGTAGATTCTAGATTTATACTTATGCAGTAAATAATATTTTTAACATACTTTTGTGGCAGCTTCCATGATCACCACAGTCCATGGTGCATAGATTAGTAATAAATTGTTTTGGAATATCAGGTGATGAGCCATTACTAATCCATACACTTGGATTGCTTTTTATAATGATTAAGCATACTTCTGTTAAGGTTCTGACATAGCTCAATGCCCAGTTAACATCACCAGAGGACTAAATGTCAAATGAAGTAAAAATTGAAATGCATAATTAAATAACACATCAAAATAAACTTGAAAATTTTAATAATACTTATTTTTAAAACAAAATAAATAATAAAAATAAAATCAAAATATAGATCTATTTTAGTACTCAAACCTATTTTAAAATGTAAATCTACTTTATACAAAACTAAATTCTAGACAAATTATTCCATAAGTTTCGTTATCATAAGTAGGCTAGATGGGGTAAAGAAGGGCAATAGGAGCCACACTTTTTAGCATCTGTATATTTTAAAATGTTTCTACTGATCCAAGTATTTTTTTTACATACTGAAAATATTGCAAAATTACTCTAACACATCTTACACAACATAAAACTAGTAACAAAGGCTATTAAATTTACTTTAAATTGGTTTTATGCACAAAAAATCAGCATTCTGGGCATATGACGCCAGGCCATGGACATTAAGTAAATATGTCCTAATTAAGACAAAATTTGAAATATGAATATAGTTGTTTTCTAACCTCTTAATAGTTTGTGCTGTGTACACAAACTTTAAATGATACCAGCTATCACAAGGACCATTGGACCCAGTTAAATAGTCCAAATTTTTATTTTTACACATAGAACTTAAAGTTTGTAGTTTATATAGGTCTATATTATTATTAATCAGTTTTTAGTAGACCCAGTGTGTAGCAGGAAATCAGCTGTTCAGAGGTAAGATTTTTGGTTGTAAAAAGTGGTGGGACAAACTAATCTGCCTTTTTGCTTTCCCCTGATAAGCCATAACATGACATGGAGGTGAGAAATGTTGAGGAGAGAACAGTGGTACTGATTCCTCTTTGGTTTCTATCCTGCTCAACCATGAGGGTCATACATAATTTGACATGCCACCCTTGACTTGCTGATCTGTTAACAGTTATCCATGCTAACTACAAAGAGATTAGAAGTATTATGGTGGGGGGGGGGGGCGGGCTGAGTTAGTTGTATTGCTCATCAGAGGAAATAAGTATGTGTACCATCTTAAAAATTATTTGACTAACATCATATAGAGTCTATATTTATTTAAACTTTAGCTCAGGTTAGAACTGTATTTCTATCATTTGAACACAAGTCTGTTAAACAATTGATATATTTTGTGTAAACTATTCCTATACCAATGTCACATTCAGTGGTCTAATAAATAATAAACTTGCACCGATGGCAACAAAAGCCACATAATAATATATGTTATAACTTTTTTGAATGTGCAAGCCAGTAGACAAAATTAATGGAATCATGTTGATTTAACTATTAACTAACAAAAAAAAAACCCTATTATAATGTTGATCAATTAGGTTTTCCTCTGAGAATGATAAAAACTGTATACTTATATAGGGTGACGCCTAAGATTTTAAACTTAATTATTCTTCAAGATGACTTAACTCTTTAAGCCTGAGCACGACCAAAGCTAAATTGATTAATTGACAATAAATTGACAGAAATTGTTATTAATTAAGTTTGTTTGTTTAGTTTAAGGTGCTAATTGGTTTAGGCCAAGGCCTAGATCTACTTGCTTAGCTAAATTCCAACTTGCCTTTAAGTCTGTTGTGCAATCAACAATAGCCCTTTCTACATTCGTTGTCTTTAAATGCTCTCGACATGTCAAATATGCAGTGTGATTGAGTATTGCATTGCTGCAATACGCTTTAGCTTCATCGGATGTCATTGACCGTTTGGTGATCTTCAAAGAACAAAAGTCAAAAATAAAAATAAAAGGTGTTCTAGATCCAGTGGCGTAGCGAGGTCGGGTGTCACCCGGTGCGGCACTTAATGGTGTCACCCCCCAGAGGCGTAGCGACCCTTCCCGGGGACAAACTTTCAAATTTTCGATTTGCACCCCCTCAAGTTTTCTCTATATATTTTGCTATTTTTTGCCTAGGTGTCACCCCCCTAAATGGTGTCATCCGGTGCGGTCCGCACCCGCCGCCACCCCCCCCCCCTCGCTACGCCTCTTTCTAGGTCTATATGTAACATCATTAAATAAAGCGACTCAATTATTTCTTTTTAGTTTTTTAAATACTAGTTCATAATTATATTTAAAGAAAATGTTTTATTTTCACCTTATTAGTGCATAATTATATTATAAAAGCTAGCTATTAAAACGTTTTTATATGTCTAGAGTCTAGACTATTTTTCATTTTGTGTGCAGTAAAAGATACTAATATCTTTTACTGCACACAACAAGGCTAACTACTATAAATAAAGGTGTTAATTAAAAAAGAGAAAATACAAATAAGCAAAAAGTGATATAAGCTTGATAAATTACATTTAGTCCAATTTCATCATTTGTAGGGTTTGCCAAGATCGCTGTTTCCTGGGTTCCGTCTGTTAAGAATTAGATGTTTATAATTTATATTATTAAAATAGACCTTCACGTTCGCCTATATACTGCAGGCCTATTATATAAATATGTATCACTTATGTACGCCTAAAATAAATAGGCCAAGAAATTAGACTTGTATGACGATGTGGGGGGGGGGGGGGGGGGGGGAGACGGACGTGTACATTTTAATGAAAGAAGGGGGTATGGAGTTTTAGTACGAGTTGGAGAAATATCTTGAGGGATATAAAGCAGGTAAAAATTGTGTGCCGTCATTCTGCACGCCCATTATGATAAGTGAACGTGTCGCTAATAGACCTATAACTTTTGATATCAATGTGTGAGCGTGTGTTTGCGTGTGATAGGCCCGCAACGTCTCTATTTAATAGTAATGTTTGAGTGTGTGTTTGCGTGTGTGTAATGTCTATTTATTTATTTTAATTATTAAACTTAACACAGAAATTTTCTTTTATCTACAATTGTCATCGAATGCTATAGTTAGCTTACATTCTACATAAGTAATGTTGTTTACTTGATTTGGGTAAAACCTTCATTAGCTTACCAGCAGCCTTTTCTTTAATTATGAAAAACACAAAAACACATAGGCCGATGTTGATGTCCATCGTGCGAACTGAAAAAAATGTACCGGGCTTTTTTTTTATTGCATTATAAATAATATGTGTAATTTCACAATTTGGCAGGTATGTGACACGTTATGTAACGAGTTGAGATTTATATCAAATTGCGATAGGTGAGATTGAGATATGTGACATGTCCAAACATGTGACAAATTCAGTTTTGTGACAAGTCAAGAGAAAATGTGGATGGATTGGACACACATTGCGTAAACCAACTAGCAACATCACCAGCTAGGTACTAGATTGGAATCGCTAAGGAAAGAGGAAAATAAGCCATGTATGTAGGGTAGGTAGGTCCAGTAGGTAGGATAGGTAGGTAGGTCCTGTAGGTAGGGTAGGTAGGTCCTGTATGTAGGGTAGGTAGGTCCTGTATGTAGGGGAGGTAGGTCATGTATGTAGGGTAGGTAGGTCCTGTAGGTAGGGTAGGTAGGTCCTGTATGTAGGGTAGGTAGGTCCAGTAGGTAGGATAGGTAGGTAGGTCCTGTAGGTAGGGTAGGTAGGTCCTGTAGGTAGGGTAGGTAGGTCCTGTAGGTAGGGTAGGTAGGTCCTGTATTTAGGATAGGTAGGTCCTGTAGGTAGGATAGGTAGGTCCTGTAGGTAGGGTAGGTAGGTCCTGTAGGTAGGGTAGGTAGGTCCTGTATGTAGGGTAGGTAGGTCCTGTAGGTAGGGTAGGTAGGTAGGTAGGATAGGTAGTTCCAGTAGGTATGGTAGGTAGGTCCATTAGGTAGGGTAAGTAGGTCCTGTAGGTAGGGTAGGTAGGTCCTGTATTTAGGGTAGGTAGGTCCTGTAGGTAGGGTAGGTAGGTCCTGTAGGTAGGGTAGGTAGGTCCTGTAGGTAGGGTAGGTAGGTCCTGTATGTAGGGTAGGTAAGTAGGTCCAGTAGGTAGGGTAGGTAGGTCCTGTAGTTAAGCACAGGTTTAACTTAAAAAACCAAACTGTAAAACACAGTTATTTTTTGGAAATTTTTTGAAACGATACGGGGTATTGATTACAATGTATTCGTTGGATAAGGGTTAGGATTAACTTAAGTTTAGAAACAGCTGACACACCTTTGATGATGTTACTCTCTTTCAGCTGATGTTCACCCTCCCTTCAGTGCCATCACACATCGCCACAAAAAGCAAAGATCACTCTAAAACGACGTCACCGTGACCCCACACCATCCCCCATAACACTATTCTAACAAAATTCATCACACTTTCAAAATTATTTTTAGTTTTAATAAATACATGCCGCTGCTAGGTTACTTTTCATAAAGCCTGACGATTCATAGAGCAGATGAAGTAGAGTTAATCTGTTATCTGACCATGACATGTAAAGGGATGGTGTGGTCAGCACTATGCCCAGTCTATTGTTTCCCGTTACGTGAGTGAGGTCAGCAGCCGAAGTGTTTGAACTCCGAAACGTCCCACAGGCGAGTCCGAGATCCGAACTTTGATCGCGCTATTCTATTACTCGACCACATCGTCCCATCTCTAGTCAATGTCGTCACTTAAAAGACTACACTTTAGGTGTTGGAGGGTTCATCAAAATATTTAATCAATCATCTGTTAATTAAGTTATATGAATAGTATAACAGTTTGCATTCAAACATCAACATTGTGTAACTACTAGCTGTCAATATACCCGTCTTAATTAATAACAATCGTGACCACAAGGTAAGCAATTTGATAAAATTTACGCCGTCGATATTAGATCTATCTTGTGGTAAGCACACGCAGCTTAAAATTTGGGTTAAATCTGTTTCTGATTATAATTTGTTACAAAGCAATAATTTTATATTTTAAAATATAATAATCACTTACCTTCGTGGAAGAAATTTAGATATACGCCTTGAACGTCTTTGAAGTACACCAATAGTCTTGTGAAGTCTTGACGCGAAGTAAGATTAATAATCTTCGATCAGAGTTTGTAATCAACAGACCACATATAGACTTTGAACACAGAAGCAAATGAGCAACAGATAATTTAAATTTCGATGACACACCAGATGAACAGTAGTTTGTAGGCTTGCTTAGACCGAGCAATGAACAGAGAATTGCATTAGGTGCTGTTTTATATTGATATTTCAAATCGGCAACACGGAAAGAAAAATGGTAATGTGACTCATATGTTTATTTGTTGTTAGAGGTGATGATAGTTTACTCGGGATAAGATGGCGCAGGTGTCAATTGATTGGTTGACGCATTGTTTAGCTGTGTCCCTCATTATAATTACGTGTCTCTCTCCCCCCCCCCCCTTTCTGCTTCGGTGTCCTCAAGTTCTAAACTATCCGCTTATTTAAGGCTGCTAACAATTGTTTAATTTACATAACTTGTGAAAAAAAAGTAAATATATCCTCTCGAAGTTTAGATCACCTTCCCGTATGAAGGGATAGTGTAGTTATATATATATATGTCCAGCCTCCTTTAATTTCCCTAATATGAGTCAGGTATCCAGGTAGGTAGATACAGTGACGTCTTAAGTCTCGAGCCCAGGTTCTGAAAGCTAGATTTCGATGAGACAGTCGTGACTCTACCCCAGGTCTCACCTTCTCATAAAAGCTTTATAGTATTTCTTAAATTCTTTATATTTTCTGTTTACGTAAGCTGGTTTATTTTTTTAGATGGGTGTTGATTAAATTACGACTTCATGATATTTAGAGAAGATATCTACAAAACAACCTTCCTAAGAGGATACTTAGAGAATCTTTTTTAAAAAGTCGAACAGCTTTTTCGTAAGAGGATACTTAGATAAGCTATTTACAAAAGTTAAACAGGTTACTTTTAAGAGAAGTTGGCTGTAGGAGTCTAACTTTGGAACCACTGGACTCAACCTATACACGCTGTACATGTATTTAAAATTATAAACCAATGGACATTCACGGCCTTTTTACATTCCTTATTTACCCTGGTGGTCATATGACTTGAACAGCAAGCTTATGGGGTCGTTAAGCTAAAAGCCAACATGACTTGAGATGTTCCCAGTGGTAAAAAAAAAAAACAACTGAACTAGCAAGCATAACTTCAGGTTAATCCAATTAGTCTAAATACAGTTGAGGTGGTGTGAGTGTGTGTGTGTGGGAGGGGGGGGGGGGGGAATTAGCTAGGTGTCATAATTACTCCGCATTGTTCCAATAATAAAAAAAAAATAAAACAACTGAACAGGTAAGCAGTTAGTTTGGGGCGGTTTGGAGTGGCGAGGTCAACAGAACCAAGTTGTCCTATTGGTCAGAGGGCTAAACACACCATCACTTGCCAGCATAGCTTCAGATTGTCACATTAAGATGTCATCACTCTGACATTAAGATTGTCACAACAAGATGTCATCACTCTGACATTAAGATAATTAATATCCTTATGTACACCTATCAGCACATCTCAGTTTGCTGCGATCATTCTTAAGCTACGTGGCTAAGTCACGTAGCTGCCTACGTGCCGCAGGTGAATTTTTAAAACAATGACCCAGAAGCTACCTCCCACCGCTGCAAGAATAACGCTGGGCAGAAGTCTGCAGTTCATAAACTGCTGTGCCTGCATTTTTTTTTCTTTCGCGGGGTTCCTAAATGTATAGCCTAGCATTATAATCTCATAAATATAGGCACCTTATAATTATGTGGTTGATGGCTTGATTGCTAACACGAAAGTCTCAAGTTCGGATGTAGGACTCGAGTCTGTAAGACTTCCCTGAGCCCACCCAGCTCTGATGGGTACCTAACTCATGTTAGGGAAAGTAAAGGTTGCTGGGTATAGGGTCGACCACACCACGCTTTCCATGCCCAAATCAAGAAATATGAACACTACTTCTTCCATATAGATCGTAAGGTTCGAAAGGGGGATAATATAAAATAATGGATTGTAATTGAAAAAAAAAAAACCGCAAAATAAATAAAACAAAAAAAAAATTGCAAGAGACTTCTCGTACATGGCAAGGAAATACGAACGAAGAAATGCTGTCACTGTACTCGGCGACAGTATTAATTACCTTTTATAATAAAAACGTGAGGTAGATTTATTCAGGATCGGAATTACCTTTAAGGCGAACTGACGTTGCGATATATTTCGGCGCGAAGGGCGAACTATCAATTTTGTGCCCCCTCATTTATAACTACAGTTATTCGAGTAGGTGAAAAAGCGCCCCCCCCCCACCAGCTAACTTGGTGGGGTCACTTTGCCTTTTATTTTGATGTCACACAATTGATGTAGAAAACAATTAAATAAGCCCGTAATGCCAAGTAGCAGTCTATTTTCTTTACTTCGACTGCATTTAATTCAGTAATGAGCTTTTTATATTATTATCCACCACGTTGGCGCCCGCTTTTCGTCAGCGCCAGGGGCAGAGCCCCCCCCCCACCATCTACCCTCAACTAGCTGCGCCTTTGGTAATATAATGAGGTAATTATTGTAGACCTATTTCATATACATTTTTACATTTCAGATGGTAATCTAATTTTAATGTTGATTTAGTGCACGATCCAGCGCATGACGCGGGTTAAAAAAAAAACAAAATTTTGATTTTTAATAGGGTTTGTAAGTTTCTTTTTCGTTAACTGTCAATCAGAAAGGGAGATATTTAGATTAACGAAAAATCAATTGTTGACATCACGAGATTCTTAACAGATTTTTAAAGTACAATGTTACTACAATATCTTGGACATTGGTATACAGTCTATTGAAGAGAGGTTGCAACATAATATTGTATTTGGCTTTCTTTATGATATATCCAATAAGAACAAAAAGACTCCTGTGCAAATAGGCCTACTAACTGTCTGCCAACATTTAGAAACGTCGTTTACGCATAACTCTGTCTAATAGAGATAGTGATGCTGCTGATGTTAGTATATGTTTGTGGTTGGTGTTTGGGATTAGGGTCTGGGTTCATTATGATGGGCTGGGGGGGGGGGGTAAGGAACAGTGGAATAATGACTCCGTGGTAATGTCGGAGGAATTGTCCGGGGAGGGAGGGTAATATCCTAGAACTGGTTTCCAAAGTCACCATCAGATATGCTTCTCTATATAGTACAACCATTGGAAGATTTTGTACCAAATTTTGTTCTTTCTTTGAGAATACTATTATCATTTTCAGTGTCGCATCGTAGACTCGTGGACTGAGCAACAATTTCAATAGAAAGTGATAACGCTACGACACAGGAATCGAAGGAATTTGTGGAAACGTTTGCTAGGAAGAAGGCAAGAAAAAATTAAATTTTGATTTTGTAATATACTTATTACGTTTATGCAATTAATATGCATCTCTCTCTCTCTCTCTCTCTCTCTCTCTCTCTCTCTCTCTCTCTCTCTCTCTCTCTCTCTATATATATATATATATATATATATATATATATATATATATATATAGTAAGAGAGAGAGAGAGAGAGAGCATGAATTTGTGTTTACAGATGTATTAAAAAAAAAGAACCACCAAAAGAAAATGCTGACTATGCCACTAGTTATTGTTACTCTAGTTTTAGGCTCCAGTGAAGTAAATTAAGAAATGACTGTCAAGTCTCATCATTGTTTTTTTTAAAGCTTTTATTTAGTTCGCAACGTCGGTTTGTTTATTTGTTTGTAGTTTGTGTGTTTGTGGCAAATCGTCTAACTCAGCTTTGACCGACTTTTAATGAAGCGATTTCGTTCAAACTTTCCAGATACGTTTCACTTCGATGACAATGCAAGTCTATCTATTTTTTCATTTAATTAGATGCTTAATTAGTCATTCTAAATGAATTAAACGGGTTCGAAACTAAGGGTGGAAAACAAAATTAAATACTCGAAAGTTTACAATATTTAATAACAGAAGGGGAGATAACTTACTAGCTATCACACGACCAGTCCGGTGAACTAATATTTACAATCGTCGAGCCGGTTGATATAGTGAAGGCTGTTGGAGGCAGATAATAGTTTTTAAACGATTGGAAACTAAGGGGAAGTAAAAAGATTTAGAACTTGCTGTCATTTGTAAAATATGATTACGGACGCCTGCTTTAACGAGGCAGATACTCGTCTTTTAGACATCGCGATTACTGATGGTGTTTTAAAGCAAGTATTTTAGTTTTGTCGACTTCATAAATTAGGAATCACTAAAAAGTAGAAAATAAAGCAAATATAAAAAACCTTTATAGCAATAAGCTTTTAAATGCAATGCAAATGAGAAAAAAAAACTGTTTTCTCATGAGATCTGTAACTTGTTTTAGCGACAAAAGCTTTTATGATAGAAAGCAAACTATTTTTATTTTCTTATTATCAGTGCATTTAAAAGCTTGTTGCTGTAAAGGTTTTTTATGTTTGTTTTTTAATGATGTACTAATACACTAAGGGAGTTAAGAGCAGGATTGAATGTGGTAACTCGCCTCTCCGAGTTGTCCCAGCATGCCAGTTAAGTAAAGAATACTCTTTAGACCGAGCGATCGATTGAGCAGATGAAGTAGAGTTCATATGTTTTTTGACCTTGGCATATGAAGAGAAGGTGTGGTCAGCACTTAACCCAGCCGCCTTTACTTTCCCTAATATGAGTTAGGTACCCATCAGAGCTGGGTGGACTCAGGGACGTTCCACTGACTTGGACCCAGATTTCGGGTTAGCAGTGGTCTTCTAATTTTTTAATAACCAGATCTTTAGATTTTTATTTTCCTAACTCTAGAAGTTTCATACATTTATTATAAACATCAAATGACACGATTTTCGTCGCTCAATGTGCTAAAAACACTTAATAACTAATTTAATATTTCATTTCTTTAGGTCACATAATCTGATCTGAATATTAAATAAAATCGTCATAGACTGTAAATTATTTAACTGTTAAGGCAGTAGGATAGTATTGAAACATTTTGTCATTACCCTAAAAAATGAAAATACTTTTTCGATAAGGCCTATGGAATTAGTCCTATATATATTTTTTTTTTACTATACGTATAGATACGAATGCAAAGTGGTAACCCTTTAAATAATCTTTGCATTTGGTCAAAAATATTTTAAATCGTTTTGGCAAGCTTTAAAACTACTTTTAGAATTTCTACGTGTTAAGACATTTT